GAAATTAGGGTAGAAGGGACAACAGAGGAGAGCCTAGGCAGTGCTCTGCTTTGGCTCCTCAGAAACATTATAGGAAAGAAGTGAGCCAAGGCAGGGCTGCTTTAGCTCACTGGGAATCCGAGAAAAAGGGGGTCTTGGGGACAGAATCAGGGTGAGCCTGGGTGGAGCTGCTGCTACCCACAGCTCCCCTGGCTGCAAGTCTCGTGGGGACCCTTAGAAATGAGGAAGAAATAAAAAGTTCATGCCCAAGAAGGGGCATAGGCATGCTCTAGAGTGAGCCCGCCTTGAGTCTGTCCTCAGGGCTTTTTATCCATTTTTTTTCTCTGCAGGCAAAAATCTTAGGGGAGAGTTTCAGTATAATATTCATCAGCTTTCCAGGTGCATTTTTAAATATGCTGATGCATTAAAATGAGTGTATAAGGGAGTCTTGGATAATTCTTTGGTCTGTTTTACTGTTTTACTTTTATCTTGGATGTGTCTGGCTTTGGTAGGGTTTTTGTTATTTGTTCCGCAGCCTCATCTGTCCTCGGGTTTAGCCGGCACAAATGGCATTAATTGGGCCTTTGTTCTCTATTTTCCCTGGCCAGGGTGATTTAAGCTATGTGTTCTCTGGTCAGGGAGGAGGGTATAAACCATTTGCTCTCAAGTGTCCTTGGTTAGGGAAGATAAAGTCTTGCAGTTCACAAGCTGGCTACAAACTGCCCACACTGTTTGGCCTTGTTTAATTTTCTTGTCTCAGTTTCCCCATTCCACTTGCCCAGGGATTTTCCTAGCTTCTTACTATCTTGCTACACTGGGATGAGCCTTGAGATGAGCAGATGACCTGAGGTCTATATAATCCAGAGCTTCCACCTTTCCTCCATCACTAGTCCCAGTTTGGAAACAGAAGCTCAAGATTGAAAGTGAAGGAAGGAAACAACTGCAGGTTCAGGTTGTTCAAATCAGAATAAAACACGAGGCCAAAGCAAGGAGAGTCAATGATGCCACAGGGACACTCACACAAGGTACCGCCTTGCCTCACTTCTTCTCTTGGGCCAAATATGCCCACACTTAGCAGAGTCACCTCCTACTGCATTTACAGGTCCTGGCACCTCTCAGTCCTCTAACTTCTGGCTATCCAGGACTCTGCCTAGAGGAGATGGGCTGAGAAGGCCTCCTTCATGTCCCAAAGAGGTAGGTCTGTGAGAGGCAAAGGACAGGCCCAGCATGCATGGTTTAACAGCTTGACTCACATGTCAATTCAGACCCAATCTGCAGGGCAAGTACCCAGGTCAGCCTGTTCCACTGCCAGTCAGAAGACTTCCAAAGCTATAGGGGCCTGTGTCCAGGCTCAGTGGGAGCCACTCCCCAAGAAGGAGACACAGCTTAGAAGTACCTCATCCTGCCTGTTGATGAAGAGAGCAACCTCTCTTACCGTGACCTGCCCCACTCCCAGGCACCCCACAGCTTTGGAGGAGAGAAGGGGGAGCTAATGGGCTGCTCTTCAGAAAAGAAGCTGAGCTACTTGACTGTGCACTGACACAAGAAAATATATGACTGCACCTGCCCAGAGTCAGTGATCTCAAAACCATCCTTGCTGATATAAGCTCTTTCCTATGAATGGACAGGGAACCAGTAAATTATTTTTTAAGATCTTCCAGGAGAGTCAGAAACAGGTGTTCCCATATTAATTTTTGTCCTTGCTCAAGATTCTTTTTAGATGCTGCAGGCACCAGATTCCCTATTGTACCCAACTGCATACATTTATACGTGTATGCAGACATGACACTGACCGCTCCAAAATCTTAATAAATCTTTCATCAGACTAAAAGCAATTCATTTCCTTGTGTCATTTCCATCTTCCTCCCACACCATATGGCTAGGAAGCCCAACCTTTTGGCCTCTGTTACTGAAAATACATACATGTGGTTGATTCTACCTACTTCATTTTGCAAGCCCAGTAAAGCTCACTCAAAATACGTTTTCAGATCATAGCGGACTTTTCTCTTTTTCTGGCACCAAGTAAATCAGGTAATCTTAGTTTTATTTTGTTTTCAATACTCCTAGGATATTGTACTTCTGTTAGCACACTTTTGGTAAAAGTTGTAAATCATACCTGCTAATAGAACACCTCTTTATGTCAATGAGACTCTTTGAAGAGATGTGGCATATAATTGTTTTTTCCTTTCCTTCGGAGAAAAGGAAGCAGTGGGAATCTTAGTCAAACAGCTCATAGATAAAACCAATAATTCTTCCCATATAACCCTAAGCCTATATCTTTACATCATTAGCCACAGACTGGCCCCTGAGCCCCACAGCCAAAGCTTAGCCACTCAGTCTTGCTTGTCTCAGATCACCTCCACTGGAAACCAAGAGCTCACTTGCTTGTCCTCCTCAGTGAAGGTGGTGTGGCTTGTCTGATGGGAACCTAGTTGTCGTTTAGGGAATTGCTGGGGTGCCATTTCCATTTCCCATCTAGTTCCTCCTGGCTGCATGTGCTCCAGAAAGTGCATTCCTTAAATGGAAGCAGGGTGGGGGTTGCAGGGGAGAAGCTTATGTGTGGTTAGTAAATGTTGAAACCCAAGGAAGCAAAGAAGCTGCACTTAGAAAACAATGTCTCCCAAATTTACAATAGACTCCCAGCCTCCAACAAGGCTGCCTTGGACAGGACAGGTAGCTTCCTACCATTGACCTATTTGCTATATTTCTTAATTTATATAAGCACTTAATTTCTTTAAATCAAGTAAACAGAGCTCTTTATCCAGTTCTGAAGAATGTACCCCAAGGGAGCTCCATTCAGGGATCAAATTTGAGTTTCCCATAGCTGGCACGTTTACATATAAGACAAATAAGGCAAACACAAATGTCCACACAAAGAACAAAATCCAACTTATGCTGAGCAGACAAGAAAACAACCAGACCAGAGATTGTCACCCAAGGATGTCTTGGATTGCCCCTCAGGTGTTCCTCAACCCTCCAGAGTGAGACCTAGTTCAGGCCCTGAATACAACGCCCTGGAGACAGTTCCTGCCCAACCAACCAGAAACCAAGCACACACCAGAACTGAAATTATCTCTGCAACAACCCTATACCCAAACTGGGAATAGAAGCTCTAATTAAAGTGGCCACTGGGGCTGACCTACATGCATCCCTTCCAAAGCGCTGAGTGAAACAGGTTCAGGTGCCCACTCTGCTTGGCTGTGGAGGCAGGCCAGGCACCAAGCAGGAGTTTCCCATAGAACAGATCCTCCAGCAGTGGAGACACAGACGAGGAGCTGCTGCTGCAGACTTCTTTGACAAGCATTCCCACCAGGCCAAAAAGGAGTTATTTTAAGAGAGTCCCATCAAAAAAAAAAAAAAAAAAAAGTCCCATCTGAGTCAATAAGTTTGTTACCAAACTCAAGAGGCTTACTGCTTGGGGCGTTCTATCCAAAAACAAGACCTGGTTGCTGTAGTTTTATTTGCTTGCAGCAAGTGAAAAAGACAGGATGCATATCCAAAGCTCTGCCTCTAGGAAGGGAGGCTTATATACACTATTTGGTCAATTACATGTTGATTTCATCTCTGCAACTGGCTACACTTATCAGGGTTGATTCCTTTGAAGCGTATCCTGTTTATGTCTGAAAAATACTGTGCTACATTTTAGCATTTAGCAAGAATGGCATTTAGTAAGAATGACCCAGACAAACTATTTTCAACAGCTATGCCTCAAGAATTTTTAAAACATGCAGGACCTGAACTCTTTTCCCTGAGATTGTCAAATTTTAAAAATGACAGCAGCCAACACGACAATAGCCATCCGGTGTGAATAAATCACAATTATGCCTATTTTTGTCAGATTGGCGAAAAATATACTTTTTGGTGTGCTGCAGAATTTTAGCAATTAGTTTATGTGTGCTGTGAGATGAAAAAGGTTGAAAATCGCTGGCCCAGAGTCTTGAGACCCTTGTCCTATCTAACAGAAGGTCAAGTCTTTCTTGCATAGGCCTGTTCTATTCATTGCGGGACATTTAGTTTAGCTGACAGCTGCCCACCAGTTGCCAGCAGCTTTGCCAGTCATTGTGACCACCCAAAATGCCCCAAGTACTTCCAAAAGCCTATGTAAGGCACTATCACTCATGCAAAAACCAATTCCCCAAGCCACACTGTAAGCCCTCTAATACTCAGCAATAAACCCCTAGAGTGGTTTCTGTCATCTACGATGAACCCTAAGACACACACACACACACACACACACACACGCACGAAAGAAGCTCTCACAAAATACAAACTAGCAAACTAAGATGTCAGTCAAAGCTCATGATGAAAATGAACACCGGTCAACGTCTACAATCCCGATGAGAAAGAGGTTCTGGAAGAAAAGGGCAGAGAATGGCGTTGGGGGCCGAGCGTTGAGATGCCCCCAACCATTCAGAGGCGAAGGGCTGGGTGGGGCGGAGTGAGGGGTGTGGGGAAAAGGACCTCCCGCCGCCCGCTTCGCGCCCCCGCAGTGTCCTCGGCTCCCACCAGAAGGCGCCCGCATTCCCGGCGCACAGCCTAAGCCTCCATGGCAACGAGCCTGGAAGCGGAGCCGCCCCGGGCCGCGAGCTGAAGAGCGCGGCAGCCGCCTGAGCCCTCCCGGCGAGCGATCGAGGGGAGCCCTGGCTTTGTTCCAGGTGCGGGTATCTCAGCTACGTGTGGCGGCTTCTTAACTCCCTCCGCCACCCTGGCAGGAAACGCCCAGAACCATCCCAGCGCCGAGGTATCTACGGAGCGCAGGGAGTCCGGAGGCGGGAGGGGCCGGGCGCGCCGGGGAGGCAGGAGGATCCCGCAAGCTCTCGGGCTCCAGCTCGGCTCCACCGTCCGGCTGCCTCCAGCCCCATGAGGACCCTCAGGCCCGGGCTGAGAGCCTGGCGCAGCCCGGATCGAAATCTTACCGCGGCCTTAGAGCGTTAGACAGGTCAGTGCCCAGGCCGAGCGAGGGCGGAGCTGAAGGTGGGAGGAGGCGCAGTCGCCTGTCCACTCTGTGCCCGCGAGGCCACTCACCAGGTCACCTCCGCCGGGGCACCCTATAGCGCGGGCGTGATTCTGCATTTTTCATGACAGGCAAGGTGTGGAGCCGCCCTTTGTAGCACATCCAGGGCCAGGTGATGCTCGGACGGAGGAGT